CCCCCCCCCGACTGAAATTGATCGGAGGAAACTACAGAAACGACGGTCCGAGCAGTCTCCGTTAACTTCGCTCGGCGACAAATGCAAACTTCGACAAATCTGATCATCAGTTGAGTCTCATTTGAGTGTGATTTTTTTTTATCTAAGCAATTTAATTGAGGTGTCCTTACTATGGGAGCTAAGTTGCAATCTTAGTGCAGTAGCGACCGAAATACTCCATTAATGACGTACGTCGTAATGGCATATTACTACAGTTTTTAAGTTTTTAAGAGAATAGTCATTGGAGAAATTTGGTTGGAAGTAGAGATGATCCATTTTTTAAATTTTCTCTTTTGGTGCTTTTCATTTTAGTGAGTGATACAGAAACGGCGGGATGATCGCGGGCTGATGCAAAAGAGGAATGATTACGTCAATAATGGGAATATGATGGAAATGCAATGGAAGAAACCGCTGAGGAAATCTGGCGAAAACTACCGCGCCCAGCTTTTCTCCCCAGTTTCACACGACCTGATTTCTAATCCTGAGACTGACGGATGGAGAAAAAGCGCTTTAGCAGCATGTTTCGTTGGGGTGCTAGCATTCTAAAAGTGTTGTGGACATTCGTTCTCACTGGTCTAGCATGTACCTAGTTTTATTAAGGATGTTGCCAAAAGTCTGCGAAATACAATAAATGTTCGCTAAATGAAATCCAGTTTTCATGGCAATCTGTTGGCTGACATAGAATGTAGTTTATGCACATCATCGCTCGATTTCTTATTCCTTTTTCTTTCTTCCGTCAAAACAGTTTTTGCCCACCTTCTGTCTTTCGTTTCACCTCGGGCCATCTCGTATTTTTTTACCAACTCTTTCTGTACCTTTTGCGGAAGTTTTTGAAGATAATTCACTACTTTCCTCTTCACTTCCCGATGAAACCATCTCTCGTATGTTCCAAAAACACCGGCTACGCATGCGCGTTCTAGAGTGGGTTCCACGAAAACGAAAGTTGTCTTTCGCTTCTTTAAACTTTCGTCCCTCGATTAAACCCATTGAAGTTTCCCTATTATAAAAGTTCATTTTCTTTAAGTCTCGATTTAAGAAGCTGCTTTATTAAGGTCGAGGAACTGACGTAGATATGTGAGTAAGGAATGAAGGCGTTCTTATTCACGTTGCAAGGAAAAGTATACCTTCGTATTCATCGTTTTGAGAAATAATCGTGGCCCTCTAACATG